CTAATAAAGACGATACTCTCCCAAAAAGGTTCGAATAGAAAGAGGTTACAACCGAAAAAGGGAGACTATACTCCCATAATTTCGAAGGCGTAAGGGTATGCCCAAGTAAAACTAAAGCATCAGCAACCGAGTTAGCTTCTTTAAAAACATGACTAAAGATAACCTCATCACAACACAATGTGAGAAACAAGATGTCTTGAACGAGCTGAGCAATACACCAAGGAACAAAGCAACGCTTCAAAACTGAGTCAGTCACAAGTTTAGAGCCCCCCTTAACCATGATCCTACGCCAACCCTTAGGAACAACATAGGCCAAATCATCTCTAATGTCCATACATTCCGCCACTGTAATTGAGACATCACCAATCTTCTTCACCTCAGCTAGAAGAACTCGAGCATTCTCATCTCTAATCACAAAGCCAACCGCAGCTTTTGTTTTTCTTGACGGAGCCATCAAAATTGATTAGTAAGGTTAGATGTTGATTGTTTTTTAGCATATTAGTAAGGTTAGGTTCGAACTTAAGACCATTAGTCTACAAATCAAGTCCCTTTTCGATTGAATGAGACCCGTTGGCTAGCAGCAAATATAATGGAAACTACTAATAAGATCCTAGTGTGAAGAATTCGAAATTTGTTTATTAATGTGTATAACATTGCTTGTGAAAATCAGCAAACGTATATGCTTTTCACATGTCCCACTGCTTTAGGAATTAGGATGATAAAAAGTGAAGGCAGGAAAAAAACGTGTGCTTCTGATGACGTGGCGCCTAGCAGACCAGTGCTTTAGTGAACCCGAAAGTTGGGCGAGTCCTCCTAGGTCCTAGCCACCACTTGTTTGAGTGGCAGAGACATCCCTTGAGCCCGGACCACCATTAGAGCAACTCCACCCATTTGCCCCTTGCCATGGCAAGGGGGGGGCTATGGCAGCCACTATTCATGTGAATAGTAGTTGCCCTTGCAAATGGTATATTTTGTGTTTCCACCCGTTGTCATGGTTAAGGGCAATTACTATTCATTTTTTTTGTTTTTTTCACAAATTTTTTTACCTCAATAATTAATTTGGATAATATTTTCGGATAAGATTTCCGGGTTCGTATGTGTCAATATTTATTATAAATTTCATATCTAAATCGGATAAAATTTTGGCATTTATAGAAGAAAAAAAAAATCAGTAATTTTTTATAAAAAAATTCGATTTTTTTCATTTTTTTTATTGCACAAAAATTGGCTGCCGTTGGATTGGAGTAAAAAATCTGATCGGAGAGCCCAGAGCACGACACGTGGACTTTAGCGGCACTGTAGCGCTGACGTCACCCAACCCGCGAGTTGGACCTTAGGCTGAATTAGCCTTCGGGCCAGCCCGAGTTGGTGGGACCCCTAGGTTGCCCGGGCTTGGGCTAACCGCTGGAGCTTCGTTTTTTTGCCTTCCCCCCAGCCTTGGGCTCAGCCCCTCGCTGGACTTGCTCTTACGCCCGGTCCCCAGATCCAATTTTACGTCCCATCCTATTCTTTTTTGCTGTCTTTTATTTTACAATTTGGAATTAAATTTTAATGTCGGTGCTCCAGGTTGTTTTCATGAACACGTGGAATTTTAAATTGTAATGAAGTCTTTCCTTCATTTTCCGGCTATAATCCGTCAACCAGCATGTTTCTGCATGCCATGTGTATTGGAAAGCAAACGGCAGAACTGAAAGCGAAGGCCAGGGGTTAGGAAGTCAAACACATAATTTCAGGGCCAAATATATAATTATGGATGATAGGAATTTAAATTCTTAACCCATCAACATCAAGTTTGGTTTTGTTTATATTTGTAATGTAATTTTGGCCAACACCATCAGCATTTTCAGTAGCTACATCAATGAACTGAAATATACAAAGTTACAAACAAAAGCGTCAAAGCTGAAACAGTTCACCTTTGGAAGGGAAGCACCGATGGGGATGGGGTGTTAAGATCCAAAAAAACTTATTTGTTTCAAAGATAACACTGTTTTGTATTCCTCATCAATAACAGAATAGCACATGAAAAAGTTATCCCACATGTCATTGTGTTATTGACCGGGGATAGCAAAACAGTGATATCCCCATTGCATGAGAGTCTCTCATTAAGATCACCTCAATGCCATTGTTCTTTTTTCTTGATATGAAGCAAAAGAAGCAAAACAACTAAAAAATACGAGACTCTCTAGATAGAAAGAGGTTACAACCGAAAATGGAAGGCAACACTCCCATAACTTCGAAGGCGTAAGGGTGTGCCCAAGCGAAACCAAAGCTCAGCAACCAGTTAGCTTCTCTAAAAACATGATCCTACACCAACCCTTAGAAAGGGCATAGGCCAAACGAAAAAGAAAAAAAAAGTAAACCAGCCCTTTTCTCCAAGTCGCCCCCAATTTTCCATCCATTTTTTTTTGTTCGAAAAAGGAGCTAGTTTACATATTAGAAAGACTAAACTACCCTTAAAAATAGATGGAAAATTGGATGACGTTAAGTTTAGATGACATATCTTGGATTTTGAAAATTAAGGTGACATTTCTCTTAAATTTTTCTTTGAGGTGACAAATTAAAACTGATATATAAGTTCAGGTGACATTTCTACAAAAAATTCTTATAAATTATAATCCAAATTAGGGATGGTAATTTTTTTTATGACATGGGGACAAAAAACCCTAATCAAAACCTACACTAACCCAACCGTTTTTCGTCCAAACAAAAAACCCAACCGTTTTATATTTGCCCTGCCATTACAAACACTGGTCAACTTAAATCCGCTACATTCGTGTCTCGTTCAATCGTATAATCCTGTCATTTAAAAAAAATTACCACCATAATCAGGATCCGACAAACCATTAACAAAATGAAATACATTGATTAGAACTAATCAGATCAAAGTAAGATGAGTCATGTATAATAATTGAATTGATTTCCTGTTTTGTAGGTCTAGTAGTAGAATCAATGGTTTTATGTCCGGGATGGTTGTAATAACTTTTTGAGTTACCAATGGAAAGAAGGAAATAAAATTTTATAAACATAAAAAAACATAATAAAAAAAACAAAGGAGACTTCATTTCAAACTAGTGTTTTCCTTTTAGAACTTGCTCAAGCCAACAGTTATGGAGAAAAATCACTTCCTAGAATTTCCAACAAAAAATTCGTGGATGCAATGCAACCCCAAAAAATCTTGTACCTTTCTGAAAATGCAGATATTCAAATTTATTCATATTATGGTGAACAGCTATTCTACAAGACGGTTGCTCGACTTTAGAATGTCTACATGATCAACACTGGGAGGACAAAAACCAAACAATTCTAGACACCAACACAAGATGTCAAAGATTTAAATAATTTGGGTAAGAGATGGTACAGCCTAAAACCTAAGACCAAATTATAGATTATAACTATTATTAAAAAACATTATTAAGGTTATTCCATAATGAGATGCAACTCAAACCCAAACCAGACAGAACATTTCTAGCCTTGTATTAACAATAACCTGTAAAATTCCAAGGCATGTCTAACCACTAAACTGCATGGATGGGACTACCACCTGAATTCATGCCAGAACTTCCAGAGCCTGGATTTGCATGGAAAGCCGACTGCCTAGAGGACCCTTCAACCAGCTTTAGCGTAAGCGAGGAGGGGCCGGAATGACCTATAGGCTCTCCTAAACTCAGTTTTGACATGCCTACTAGCTCATCAACATTAATCGGGCTCTTTGAATGTACTGCCGTTGGCTTGAGAACCTCGTGTTTATCCTGCTTAGTGGGCTCAGTACTGTATCCAGGCCACAATGGAAAAGGAAGTGGGAAAGGTGAGAAATATGCAGGATATATCATTGGGTAAAATGACTGTGAGCTATCAGGCTGTGGAGGGGCAGGTTCTCCGTCTGAGTTGGTAGAATCCATTGATTCACATTCTTCATCCAAAGCTGGAGGAGCGGGCAATGGGTTGTTGCTTTGACTTTCAGCTTGTAGATGGTTGCCAGGTAAGAAGTCTAGTGGTTCCATTGGAGTCTCAACTGACTGTAGAAAAATTATCAATAAACCATACAAAAGTCAAGAAAGATAAAAATAGAATCTAATTGGAGATCTCAAGTAGGAATCATGCAGTCAAGATTAAATATGGCCCTAGTTTATCACCAGACAAATACTGCATTCAAGACCAAGAGATTCAAGACAGAAGTGAAAGTTATAAAATGAAAGAAAATGAAAGAAAGCACCGGGTATGTTAAATTTTTACACATGCAGAGGACATGAATTTTTAACCAACAAGATTAAATAGTCAACACAAACTTGAGAGCACATCATACAATGTACCGTAGGATGCAAAGAAACTCAATGTGGTGAAATTTTCATGTTGCGTGCCTGTATGTAAAAAAATGTGCATACTGGTTATGCAAGACGGAAAAGATACTTACATCATCTGCTACAATATCAAACAGGCTGGAACGCCGTTTTCTCCTCGATACATTAGTCTGCCTAATGAAATATTTCTGAGCATGGCTAGCTACTTGAGTAGGTGTTCTTGATATGACGTAATTGCGAGCAATCCCACGCCAGTCACCTTTGCCAAGCTTCTGCAGTCCAAGTAAAAACATCCTGTGTTCCTCTTCAGTCCATGGAGTGCCTACAGGGAAAAAATGAGAAACTAGAATCTGTTAATACAAAATGAAAAACTTAGTAGAACACCTTGTATCATGATCCTTAGGTCCTCTTCGAGAATTCTATTGTTGATAATGAGATCAATGTAACTACTAATCAACAAATCCAGTGTGATAAATAGATCATATACACCAAATAAAAATTAAATAGTAAATATACAATCATAAGATCCCAAAATCCCTGGAAAAGTTATTGCAGTACATCTGAAAACTGACAACGCTTATATTTGCATTTCAAGTGACCTCTCATCCCGATGAGGGTTACCTATGGGATGGTCTAAACCAGGCATCCTGCTAAATGAAATCTAAAATACCTATTACAATGAGGTCCAATGCTTACATCCCTTATGCTCCATCACCTTAAATTTAACCACTAAAATCCTGGGCCTATCTTTTATGGTAGCACCCTTGTAGTTGGGACAAATTTACTTTTTTAAACCTTTTATTTATGAAAAGCATCGTTTTCGATTAAACCTCTGCAGCCTAATTCTTCTTTGCAGAAAGCATGTTGTTGCTTTGGTGTTCTTGTTGCAGATGTTTGTTCATTTTCTTCCTTTACAGTTTACACTTCATTTGGAATCTGATCCATTTTTCCATTTCGTTATTAACTACCAAAATACCATCAATTGAAAATCAAAATTCAGATATGCTAATTATGCCAACACTCCAAATAGCACCCAAAAAAAATTTCAATTTAGCTAATCACTCAACTTCAAATAATTATAATTCGTACATATCAAGAAAGAATCAAAACATAAACGCACATACCCCAAATGAAAAAATTAAAAATTACACAATGAAACAAAAAAGCAAAACAATTGAAAGATTTAAGATTAGGAAAGGGGAAAAACAAAAGGCTGAACCTTTTTTCCGTTCACGGCTCGAAGACGATCCGGGCACGAAGTCCTCAGAGGCATACCCGTCGGCAGCGCCGGCGTGATCGTTGGTGGTGTCGCCAGGAGAACCGGGATTGTTCGGGTGGAGACCCGAACTCGACCCGGCATAGTGGGAGAGATTGCCCATACTAGCGCTCTTCCTGATGGAGCCATCGGTCAAGCGAACGCCGAAGAGCTTGACCCCTCGGTTGGGGCACGTCCGAGAGTTGTGGCCATTGTGGCTGCAATGCGAGCACCTCCGAGTCATTGATAACACGAAAATGAATCGGATCGGGCGAGTTGGGTTGGTCGGATCGGAGGATCCGAATCACATGATCCGAGACAAGGAAAAAGGTGTGTTGGGTTTGGGTGTGCGTGAGAATTGGGAGTTGGGTTTGTTGTTGATTTGTGGTTTGGCTTCGAAATTCTTTGTTGCTTCTACTTCTTCTCTTTCGGACCCTCGAGTTTCGTAGACCGGAGGAGAGAGAGAGAGAGAGAAGAGAAAGACAAAGGACAAGTAGGAGATGTATGAGTAGAACACTATCCATATATCGTGGCGTGGATAAAGAGAAGAGACTATTCGGTGTTTCGCAGGATGGTTATGGAAGAAAATTGTTTGATTTTTTATTGGCCGGTCCTTTGTTTAGTCAAACATTTTTTGGATGACCACGTGTGGGATATTTTACTCTCATTTTTTCTTTCTTTCAGGATAATATGAAATTGGAGTTTTTTTTTTTTTTTTTTTTTTTACATTTTCACTCAAGTAGGGCGCCTCACCCAACTTGAGACTGTATATTAATATTAAGCTAAAATTGTAGATAAGTTTCTTGTCACTTGTTTGACACATCAACATGAAAAGTTTTGAAGTCATCTCTTTATCTGTTGATGACCTACAATTTATTTTACATTTGTCGTTATAGTAGGTGTTCGGTAGTTCATATTTTGGCAGCAGTTGGCACTTGATTCTTGTGTAGTAAGAGACCATAATTGGAATATCCAAGTTCATAAAATATAGTGTTTAGACGTTTATAAAACAAATTTAGGGTAATGTTCATCCTCATTCAAAATATGCGTTCGAACAAGGAAAGATAATAATTTTAACAATAGAATTCAGTTGTCAATTGTGAGACTTTTGATTTTAACATGACAACTGTTTGTGCAAATTTCTCATAGGAAAATATTTGCGTGTGGATCCTTCACCTTTCGAGTTTCCTTCTTTTTATTCCTCAGTTCTTGCGAAACAAATAAGAGTAAAAAACCAAAGGCCCTCCGATGCTTAAGTTAGTTCAATTGGAAAGCAGATTGTAAAACTGAGTTTTCTCATTATGAATTAATCATTACATGAAAGGCTTTTATATAGCCAATGATCAGAAGCATAAACAATAACTAAAAAGATTCCTTCTAACAAGCCTAACTAATTAAGCTAATCTAGGCCTAATTGGTCGCAACTATCCACTTATATGACAGCTGGGCCTATGATCCAATGGTTTGGATTGCTCAAGTGCTGGAGAAGTATATGGCTGAGATACTGTTTTATATTGAAGTTAAAACCCTAGAAATTAAAGAGAAAGAGGGAAGAAAGAAATTGAGAAGAAATAAACATAATATGCCTCTTACCTAAGTCTTGTGGCTTCTCATGAGTGTGCTTCAATTGATTCAACAAGAAAAAATAATAGGAAGAATAGAAGAGATTCAAGAGAAGGAGAACTATATGAAAGAGATGGTGTGAAGAAGCAAAGGGATGCGAAGGAGAAGAGGCACGAAGAGAAGAGATTGCGTGAAAATAGATTGGGGTATTTTCAGAAGTTTGTAAATTTCATTAAACCTAGCACCTCTTTTTGAACTAATTCCCACATAATAAAAAATGAAAGCACTTCATTAGCTGCTTTCCCTTATAGCTTTCTCTCACATTGTTGAGTTTATGCTTTTAAAGTTTTTTTCTTTTGGCTTCCCATGACAATTTTGTAATAGGACAATTATTGTAATTTCCCAAGCTCTAAGTTTAGATTAAGAATTTCTTCTCTAGGTGTTCTTATCTGGCTACATTCTGATGGACAACAATGTGTTTTGACAAAGGTAAATTATGCATTGCACTACATTGCATTCACTAAATTTCTGAAGATTATGACTAGTCATCTTTCCTTCGTATGACTAGTCAACCTTTGCATCAGTAGGATTTCCAGCTCACTGTTCCAGCTGAATCCTAACAAATCTTTTTGTCCTATTTTACGAATTTTCTCAGTTGCCATGTGTACTTTTCTGACCTAGGAATTTTTGGGTAAATACCCATTGATTCCTCATTTGGTTGTAGTCAATTTTGAGGTGAGGTTTTGAAAAGGTTTCTTCCATCCTTTTGCTTCTTCATCTTACTCAAGAGAAAACCACCATTTTCATCTATGAGTTTTCTAATTTGATTTTCGAAAACTGCATTTGAAATATGAAATCTGCATCTAGCTAGAACAAACACATTCTCATATATATTTAGGTCATATTCAAGATTGGTTTCTTCAAGAGTATGGTTTCTTGAAGAAATTGGTCTTTTCTCCTTAAATCCAAATTGTTGGTTTCTGCTCAAGTTTGAGCTAGCTAGCTGGTGCCATAGGATGAAAGAGCTGAAGAAGGAGCTACAATTGCCATGCAGGACTAAGCTGCTGGTTTTGCTAAGCTGGAGAAGAAGATTGCACAAAGGAGGTATAGCTCATCTTCCTAAATAAACCTAGGATTTCTTGAGCTTGCTGGTGTTCCTTTGTAAGAATCCTTGTTGCTTAATGGATTGCCTGGTCGATTGATGACCCCCAATTTTTCCCAGTGGTGGGTTTCTGGGTGAACAATTTCTGGTTTGCAGCTTTGTTATTTTCTGGATTTGTGTTCTTGATAGTTGACTAGTCATCGCATGACGTTCATGCATTTCTGGGTTTGTGTTCTTGCGGTTGACTAGTCATCACTATCTGTTGTATGCTGTTTATTTGATTTTGATGTTTTCACACACTTTCACCATAGTTGTTGCTAGCACAGGGGATGCCTAAATTGATGGGTCCTTCTGAGTGCCTACGTTGTTATTAGTAATCTTCTAGGCTTGCAGGTACAAATTGTTATGCTCTGTGTGTGTTCTTCGTTATGGTTTCTCATGACTAGCAGTTGACTAGTCATAAATATATTTGGTCAATGATTAAAGTGTGTGAAGATCACTATGTCTACTTGAATAGCATTTAAATTTACCACTCGTCTATGTACCAATTTCACACATCAATTTTTAACAATAAGTGATTTTCTCATAAATTACCAAACGAGCTGGGCTTCCCAAATTTTTTAAAAAAATCACTTATCACCCCAAATAAGTAATGCCAAACGGGCACTAAACTCATTGCGAACATATATCGTCATCTCCATCTAAGTGAGTTGAACATGATAACTCTTCCAACCATGGGGAGATACCAATAGTCCGAAGACTAGTGTGATAGGGGGTTAAACTCATAGTTGAGAAAGTAGTGGTCATTAAAACCCTAAAAAACAAACGAAATGACAGTAATGCTAGAAAGAATGTATGAACCCATCAACACATTACTATAATTTTAAGCTTATGCAAGAGTACTTTAGCATTTAATTTAGCATCTAAATCTCAACTATTTGGAGCTAAAGTCATAAGGAGATAGAAGACGAAGATCCGCAGTACACGTGGAAGGCGAGGAGGTGGTCATCTTTGGTAGGGAGGAGGAGGGTACGGCATATTCTTGCGTGTATTATCGTACAAAGATAAAAGGAGGATTATAAAAGCTTATCCAAAAGCCATCATTGACAATTATCTCCAAGCCCTTAGATTTTTTTCATTTTTTTATATTTATTTTTACAATATTAAAAAATGGACGGCTCAGATCTATCTGCCGGAATGTATCATCCAACAACAGAATTTTAATTCCCGCGACCTCGCATGTCATGCTGTTGTGTGTTGCTCTCTTGTCAATAACAAAATGAAGACCATAATAAAATCCAATGACAAAAATTCAATATCCTAACTGACTTTTTTTTTTTTGGGGTTTGAAATTTGGCGATATTTTATTGAAAAAACTCACGAAGGGTTACAATATTCAATACTAACATTCCGTATAAAATTGGGAGATTTCTCAAAAATCATGAAGAATTGTTGAAATGAATACCTATCCTGACCGAATCTTGAATAACTGAAATGATCTGAAGAGAATCACTCTCAAAGAGAGGACTTGAGTATCCGCATTCATCACCAAGAATAACTAGTAACTCCTCTCTTGGTTCTCAGTCTAAGACACATAATGGTAACAATTTTGTTTTTAATGAACCACTAGAGTAACAATTGAATTGTCAATCAATTTGGATTTTTACTATTAATTGTGTAACAAAACTTTAAAACATCTTATTAATGTTTTCAATGGAATTCATGTATCAGTTGCATTGCTTGAAATCACTTTAGCATGTTCAACCAAAATTCAGTCACTGCATCTCTTCAATTTACAACCCTCATCTCAATCCACACCAAAAAGTTTAAGAACTCCCTTTTATATATACTTTTTTTTAAAACATGGATGCAAACAAAATTTAAACTAAACGGTCATGCTCCCTCTTCTCAATCTTTTATTTGTTTCTTTTTTTGGGGTAAGAATCTAAATACCAAGCAATTTGTTTCCATGGAAAACAGAATTATGGAACAACTTGTATTGAGTTATAACTTATATGGTTCTAAAGGCCGTTTATAATCACATAATATCATCATCGTGTACTTGCAACTACAAAAGACAGATAGTGAGGGCTCATGACACCTTTTAGTTTGCATATACCACCAGATGCAGCCTAGGATCTGAAAAGCTAAGCCAGTGCTTTTAAATTCAGTCCTATGAGCCATATGTAAGCCTGAGTCGCTCTTTCAGGTAGTCCCCACTGCGGATGGGAGGAAATCTGCAAGGATGATTCATAAATATTATCTCCAGTGTATCTTGATTAAAGCCAAACAGGAGAAGGAAAATATGTTCTGCTTTAACAAGGAAATGTGACAAGCCAAACATGAAATTTGAGGAAAGCTTTACTCATGTTCTAATAAAACTTTCAATTCTGATATCCAAAATAACATTTGTATTAATATTTCTTGATTGTGCTCTCCAGATCATTGTTCTGTTTGAAGGAAGATTTACTTGAATAAAGATGGAGGACATGCCACAAGAATATAAAAAGCAGGCCTTTCAAACAATCCTATAAGTAGCTTTTTACAGTACCATTGCAACAGCAATTTAGAATAAGAAAATAAGGTAAGGACTATTTAATGGTCATGCTCTTGATGCACACTACTAAGGGGCATGTCCCAAATATCCCATTTTGGAAAAAGTAAAACATCTTGGAGTAGTATATGAGCTCTAGGGTACCCTCCCCTTGCAAGCCGACTTTGTAAGCACAAGTATTTCACGTGGGACATAACATTTGGTATCAGAAACAGGGTTCTACTAAGCAACTGGACTAGAATCCACTAATGGCATGTTTACTAATCAGGAATTGGAATTCTCATCAGGAATTGAATTCCGCCTATAGAGAATTCCTGCGTTTACTTCACATAAGGAATTGAAAAAGTAAGCGGGGCCCACACAAAATTAGGAATTGAATTCCTGATTTTGGAGGAATTCAATTACTGAATGGGAGGTGTGATCGGTGCATATTTACATATCATTTTGTACCCTTCTAGCTTATGATTTGGTTATGTTTTTGAGTTAAACTTGTGCTTTTAATCCTTTTTGTGTTTATATTTCAGTTCATTGAGCTTTAGGTAATAATGAGGGCTTTGGATAGTAAATGATGCAATCCATGCATGTTAGGGCCTAATTTGGATGAATGGATGAAGAGCTTAAAGACAAACTCAATTTTGGCTACAGTCCCCTGCCAGCCCAGTTTCGTAGGTCATATTGCAAGCTTTATTTCAGCAACCTAAATAGCTCGGATGAGGCCACATTCTTCATGAAAGTTGTTCCAATGGGTGTGTAATATAACATATCCAAAATTCAGCCCCATTGGATAAATATGGAGTCTGTTACCTAGCAAACACAGAGCCATGCTCAGGATGGATTTTATCAGCGCGCAAAATGAGTTAGCAATTTGTTTTGGCCTTAACTTCCTCCTCCGACCTTGGATTGGCCCAAATGATATATGGCTGAAAAGAAGACATTCTGAACTTCAAGTTTGAGTGCTTAAAGTCTTAATTTACTTAAGGGAAGCCCAATTCGTAAGCCCTTGAAATTGCTGGTCATGCTGACCTCAGGATGAGCTATTATTTCTGGTTGGAAGCTTGGTCATGGTGACATGAAGATGAGCTAGGGCTGCTGGTGGGATCTATTGGTGAAGTGCATCAACCAATTCAGATTTTATAATGCAAGTGTTGTATGAATTAGTGAAGTGCATCAACCAATTCAGATTTTATAATGCAAGTGTTGTATGAATTAGTGAAGTGCATCAACCAATTCAGATTTTATAATGCAAGTGTTGTATGAATTAGTGAAGTGCATCAACCAATTCAGATTTTATAATGCAAGTGTTGTATGAATTAGTGAAGTGCATCAACCAATTCAGATTTTATAATGCAAGTGTTGTATGAATTAGTGAAGTGCATCAACCAATTCAGATTTTATAATGCAAGTGTTGTATGAATTAGTGAAGTGCATCAACCAATTCAGATTTTATAATGCAAGTGTTGTATGAATTAGTGAAGTGCATCAACCAATTCAGATTTTATAATGCAAGTGTTGTATGAATTAGTGAAGTGCATCAACCAATTCAGATTTTATAATGCAAGTGTTGTATGAATTAGTGAAGTGCATCAACCAATTCAGATTTTATAATGCAAGTGTTGTATGAATTAGTGAAGTGCATCAACCAATTCATCTTTTATAATGCAAGTGTTGTATGCATTAGCCATATTTAATTCAGATTT